GGATTTAAATTGTATTTCACCTTCTGCTCGGCAAATTCATTGCATTTGATACTTTTTTCTTAGCGTTGAGTAAATCAAGAACATTACAGTCCAGGGTAGTTCGAATAAACATGTCGTCTACAAAAATATGAGCTTTTCTATTATTCATCTGTATAGTATACAATGCTGGCATAATGAGATAACGTTGCGTAAGATTCTTTTACGCGTCTCTAGATTTTATCATCCCAGTGCCTATAACCAGGCTGTTCAAGCGTTTTAGCTGCTATCTCATCAAATGTTATTTTTAAACCTAGTTTCAATTAATTCTCATAACCCGTGCTTATGAAAAGCAATTTATATATATTTTGCTGATGGAAGCTGAATTCCTCTAACAAGGAAACCGTTTAGCTGCTATCTCATCAAATGTTATTTTTAAACCTAGTTTCAATTAATTCTCATAACCCGTGCTTAACCCCAGCACTTACTTCTTGATCGAGAAAAAAATTTCTAACGATTTATAGAAATTTCGATTAATTTTTTTGTTGTCAGCTGTTTCAAATATTAGACGAAGTATTTTGTAAAATTTTTACCGCAATCTGCGTCTCTTGTTATACATTTAGTAGTGTCTACTCATCTTTATTTTTACTGTTTACTGTGAATTAACTTTTTTAATCATCACTGAGATATATGTAGAATGAGTTTGTTTAATTTTTTCATGATGTTCTTACTTTCAAAAAGATATCAAAAAACACCAAGAGTGTTTTTTCAAAACAAAACGGTTACGCCAAGTATTAAAAGTGTAGCAATTTCATAAAAAATAAACAAGCAAAAATATTAAATCAAATCTAATAAATTAGCCAAGCAAAAATCCGGTGGTGTACTGGTATGTGTGAGGCACGGCCCGGCGAGAGGGCACGACAAACGTAAGAGCGTGCGAACGAGTCAGTCATTGAATTCGAGGCTCAAGCACACACGGTCTCCGTCAATGATAAATCGGAGGAAATAAAGGCTTTTGGTTGTGGTCAAGGGAGCCGATTTGTTCGCAGGTTTCTTAAGACCTTTCCCGTACATTACAATCTCCTAGGTAGATGCTTAATCGGAGGAAATAAATGCTTTTGGTTGTGGTCAAGGGAGCCGATTTGTTCGCAGGTTTCTTAAGACCTTTCCCGTACATTACAATCTCCTAGGTAGATGCTTAATAGACGTACATATTTCTCTACAAAAAACTTGGTGTGCCAGCGACTAGCTCCAATATATAAAAAATTATTGAAATCGGTGGGGTCGGGTTGGGGGGGTTTCCTTGTAAGACATTTGCTTCCGCAGGATAAAAATATAAAGAAAAGATTCATTTATGAATTTAAATTTGTGTCAGAAGGAATGTCTGAAATGGAATCAAGCATCCATCAACGAAAGATGTAAATTTCTTTTAATCTATTCGATGTGTGGAAAAACGTCATAGCTTTGCTGACGATAGCTTTATTTGAACCTGTCAGCAATGGGGTTTGTCTGTTATATTCAACGCTAGGAAAAAAGTATAAGTGATTGAAAATCACTGAACGCAAGAATCAATCTGCTTGAGACGAGGATTTAAATTGTATTTCACCTCCTGCTCGGTAAATTCATTGAATCTGATACTTTTTTTCTTTTTTCTTTTTTCTTTTTTCCAGCCGAGACCTGGGAAGAATCTTCAAAATAGAGAGACAGAGACAGAGACAGAGACAGAGACAGAGACAGAGACAGAGACAGAGACAGAGACAGAGACAGAGACAGAGACAGAGACAGAGACAGAGACAGAGACAGAGACAGAGACAGAGACAGAGACAGAGACAGAGACAGAGACAGAGACAGAGACAGAGACAGAGACAGAGACAGAGACAGAGACAGAGACAGAGACAGAGACAGAGACAGAGACAGAGACAGAGACAGAGACAGAGACAGAGACAGAGACAGAGACAGAGACAGAGACAGAGAGAGAGAGAGAGAGAAGGACCGCAAGAAATAAAAAAAAGCATTATTAAATATTTTTTTTGAACAATAATAACTTTATAACTTTAAAACTTATAATAAATAACAAAAACTTATAACTTAAAACATTAAAACTTTTTAAACTTTTACATCCTTGGACCTGCAACAAAAAAAAAACAAATATTATAAAATAATATTTATCAAGGAGCGCGATAGCCCACTTAAAAAAACAATAACACCGTTTATACTTACTATTTTTAGCCACCGCCTCGTCCGCCTCGCCTGCCGCCTCGACCCCTGGCCCGATATGGTCCTTGACTCGCCAATTTTCGGAGCATGCGGCAAAGAAATGCCTCCGCATAATTCTGCCTCGCCCGTCTTCCCGCATGATTCCCGCGTCGTTGATAATTTCCTGTAAAATTAAAAATTAAAATAAATTACGTTTTCCCAACAAGTAATTTACAAAATTTTACTTCACAAGCACTGCGTTGACTGAGCATGACCTGGATCGTGCCCAGATGACAGTAGTGTTCGTGAAGTAAAATTTTCCCAGTGGCTTTTCATTTGATGCTGCTTTTAATTTCACCCATCGATGGATTTTAGTTGTCGACGTAAAAAAAAGCAACAATTTACAACTAAAATCTATTGACTGAAATTAAAAGCAGCATCAAATAAAAAATCACTTGTATTAAGAAAATGAAGATTTTTTACTTACGTGCTTCGTCCGCCAGTGGCTTTTCATTTGATGCTGCTTTTAATTTCACCCACAATGGATTTTAGTTGTCGACGTAAAAAAAAACCAACAATTTGAAAACTAAAATCTATTGACTGATGAAATTAAAAGCAGCATCAAATAAAAAATCACTTGTATTAAGAAAATGAAGATTTTTTACTTACGTGCTTCGTCCGCTTCACGGTTGCTTCTTGCCGGCAACCGCACCTGCCCGCTAGCCTGTTGTGGCCCTTGCCCTGGCTGTGCCACCGGTGGTCGTGCTTGTGCCGGCTGCGCGGGATCGTCCCTCTCCCCCGCCGCCGAATCGACAAATATTGCTTCCATATCCATCTGAAATATAAAAAATACACATGAATTAATCGTTATAAAAAAAATATGCTTAAGAGCCGCAGTAGAATCTCGACGCCAAGTAATTTTGTGTCGTCGGACGACGTTTACTTGATTGAGACTCTACTGCTCCTTTTATTTACCGCGACGTCGGCTTTAAATGTAATTTTAATTACTTACCTCGAAATCGTTGTCACTCTCGTTGGCCATTTTTTTCTTCGTAGTGATGAAAAACAAAGAAGACGAAGAAGCAAGAAATATAGATCTTTTTTGCCTTCGATCTGTTTTTCAAAGACAGAAGAACTTTTGTGTTTTTACAAAAAAATTCGACACTCTTATTGGCTGTCGTGGTTGACACGAAATTCACGGGTAACTACTGATAGGCCTACTTGCATCAGCCAATCATGGAGGTACGCGAGAGAGTATTGTTATGATAGTTGTGTTTTTGAGCACGTGTATGTTATCTGGTCGAATGTCATCAAAAAACAAAACAGAAGATTTATTAGCCTCCATTCAGTGTATCGTGAGGCGTAAATCATTGTGTGTGAAAAGAGTGTGCCGAGTGTAAAGTGGCGGTGAAAGTGAAAAGTGAAGAGATATATTGGTGCAATATAAGTGGCATTAAATATATTCTTTTCTGGGTTCGCTGCGGTGAGTAAAAAAAGTCATGTCATTTTGCTATTTCCCAGTAAGAAAACGTGCTGCATGACGTATCAGCAAAAATGTGAATTCTGCGACCGCATTAAGCTAAAATCTAACGGGCATTCATGCGTTCAGGCATACTATTTTGTCAGATATTAGCTTAACCAACCTGGTTAATATAATTTTTTTTTAAATTATTTATTGCAGATTGAACGACTACGGGATACGCCAGCGATTTTTGTTTATTTTTTGTTTTTAAATCTTTTTTTATTTACTTAAGAGTTCCAAACTCACTGGCGGCTCAAAGTACCTGGCATTCTATTCGATTTAGAACACCTGTGAGTTCAAAACTCACTGGCAGCTCACAGCGCCTGGCAGC